GGGGGAGCAGGGGGTGAGGGAGCAGGGATGGGGGCACAGGGGAGCTCTGCTCTGTGGGGAGCAGGGGAGGTGAGGGTGCAGGGGGTGGGGGAGCAGGAGGTGAAGGGGGATCCAGGTTTCCCAGCAGACAGTTCCGCTCTGCTCTGCATGGAGCTGGTTCCCTCCATGGCGATGCAGAGTGGAAAGATGTGTGAGTTGTTGGCAGCCAGACCTTGGCACACAGGGGCTGACACAATCCCTTCCCCTCTCCCTGCCTGGCCACAGGGGGAGTTGACAGGAGAGGCCTAGAGTCAGCTGGAAAATTCCAGTGAGCCCTCCGTAAAAGGCCAGGGCTTATGGCTCTTGGGCCTGAGGGCTAGAGTCTCCCTGAGGTGACCTCATCTCTACTCCTGACACGCTTGGTAACCCCTAGCTCCAACATGCCTGGCAAAGGCAGGGCACTGCAAGGCTCCCAGGAAGCCAGTAGAGGCCGCCGGTGACTCCACTTACCATGGCAAGTCAGAGCGGCGCAGTCTGTGGGACTCACCTCCATCTCCTGCTGCTGGCTCAGCAGCCCCTGCAGCCCCTGCAGGTCCAGCTCGCTCTTCACTGTGGCAAAGCCACTCTCCACCTGGGCGATATCACGGGCCAGAGCAGCTGCTCTGCATCGAACGGCCTCCATGCGTGGGGAGACTCGGGCCAGCTGGGAGAGAGAAAAGCGAGGTGAACCCCAGTGTGAGCTGAGCTCCCTTCAGAGATGCTCCTGGGCCTCTCATGGGGCTAGCTAACTGTGGGGCGCAAAGGAGGAATAGGGATAACTGTGCAGCACTAGCATCGGCTGCCTCGGCCTTGGCTCCCAACCCCCCCGCTCTAACCACTAGGACACACTCCCCTCCCAGGTTCAGGAACAGAACCCAGGAGTCCTGGCTCCCAGCCCCCCTACTCTCTCAGGCTGGCACTATGCAAAGGAGCCCCCCATTCAGTCAGACTCTACTGTCCTGCCCTCACCTCTGACTGGGCCAGCTGTGCTCTGCATGGCCACTAGTGGTGTGTTACCCCGCCCCGCCCCCGTCAAAGGCTCCCCACACCAGGTCCCTTACCAGGCGCTCCAAACTCTCAGTCTCAGCTGCTGCCTCCATGACTCGCTCCCGCTCCTTCACCACGTCATTCAGCATCTCCACGGCCTCCTGCAACTCACCCAGGGGGCTGCTCATGTCCTCACGGCTCAGCTGCTGCCCAGCCTGGGCCAAGGGGAGGTGCACAGGCTCCTGGGAGCCCAGCCTGCTGGTCCCTGGCTAAAGCAAACACACAGGGACACTGGGGCTTTAGAGAGAGACCGGGACACGTGGGGTGACTCTGCCACCACCTGGCCTGCGAGGGGTCCCGTGGAGCTTCCTCACCATGCACTCAGGGTTGCTGGTCTCAGCCATTTCCCAGCCAGGATCGAGGTCAGTGGCCACTGCACCTCCCCCACCTCAGAGCAGACCCTGGCAGCTGCTGGGGGTGATGCTGGAAAGCGAGGGGTTCCAGTTATCCCCACCCCCACCCCTGACCTCACTCAGTCAGCAGTAGGGCCCCCCACCCAGACTGACCAGCAGGGATGGGATTCCCAATGGGGGCCCGAGTCCAGGCCCATCCCCACTCACTCCTCACCAGCGTGCTGGTCCTCTGGCTCAGCACCTCCTCCTGCTGCACGTTCTGCAGGAACTCAGACAGCACCAGGGAATCACGCAGGTCCTCCGCCCGCCGCTGCAGGCCCGCCCGCACGCACCCCAGCCTGGCACAGCAAACGCAGCAGTGGGACAGGGCACACGGAGAGGCAGCGCCACAGGGGGCTCCTATTCCTGGTGCCAACCACTGCAGGGAAATCCCCTCCCAACCCTTCAGTGCTGCCATTCCCCAATGCCACCCCCCAGGGGGCTCCCACCCCTCTGACACCCCCTCCCATCCCCCAAGGTTGTCCCACTGGAGGTCTCCCACCCCTCTGACACCACTGTCCCCTCCCATTCCCCAAGGGTGCCCTCAGGGGATCCCCTCTCCCCTCTCTGATGCCACATCCTCCCCAGAGGGGGGGATCCCCTCACACCCCTCCAACGCCATCTCTTCCTCACATCCCCTGACACTACCTCCCACTCCTGTAGCCGGACGCTCCCCCTAGTCCGGTTCCCAGTCCTGTTTCCCAGGACTCACTTCTCCTCCACCATCTCCACCTTGCTCTGAATCTTCCCAGCCGTCACGTGCTCTGCAGAGGGCTCTCTCCCCATCTCCTCCCGCAGGCCTTGGAGCTTGATGCCCCACAACAGGACCTGCTTCTCCAAGCAGCTGATCTCCTGGAGGTCCCTGCGGAGCTCCTCTGGGCTCCTCATGGTGGCGGGCTCCGACAGTGAACCCGCCACCCCCTGCAGCCAGTGCTCAGCCCCATCCAGCTCTCCCACCAACCGCAGAACCTGCAGGAAGAGACTGGAGAGTAGGACAGGCAGGACCTCCCAGGCCAGATCCCCCTGTGCCCCGGCCTCAGGGTGGGCAGGAAACGAAAGCTCCTGCGGGCGCCATGGCATCGCGTCGCAGGGAAGACCAGTTTGGTGTGACCCAGCTCCTTGCTATCCCATCCAGGGCAACACGTTTCCATGGAGCATCGCAGGGCTCTCCATCCTGCAGCACACACAGCACCCGGTTGCCCACCTACAGGCATCTCAGACAGAGCAGGGGCAGTCCTGGCTGTGCAGCACTGAGGCCACTGCAGTGCCAGATCCAGCTGGAGGAGCAGAGACTTCCTGAGCTGGCTCCACAGGGCATCTGTCCTAGGTGGTGTGCGTGGCACTGGGCTGGCTGATCTTTGGGGGAGGCCGGCCAGGGCCATCACCCCCCACCCTGCTGACATTCCCCAGGGAGACTCCCTTGCAGGGGGCTGCAGCCGAGGCTCAAGTTGGCCCCTGCACCAGCACAGCCCAGAGAATTGCCACAGTGACAGTGGGGATGCCTTGTCCCACCTGTGCCTGCATTGGGTCTGTCCCTGTGTCCCGGGTGTACCCCCTTCCTGCCCTGCTCACGCCCCTCAGTGTCTGCTACGGGCTTGTGCCTGGCAGAGACAGATGGCACCACGCACCTTATCAATCTCCCTCAGCGCCGCACCGTTCTCCCGGTGCCTCCTCTGCAGCTCCTCCCACAGCCCTTCCAGCTCCTGGAGGACGCCTTCCACCTGAGGTCTCCCTCCATGGCTGCCACACAGCAGCTTCTGCCCTTCCTGTGGGACACAGACACACACTGTTAGGTGACGCCCACCTGGGCGTCCTGCTCCGCAATCCCTTAGAGGGGTCTGAAAATGAGGCACATGCCGAGGACGGGGATCTGCCCTTCCCAGCCCCCCTCACCCTGGCCACACGGGGGCATGGATCTCACTGCCCACTCCCATCCCTCCCCAGAAGGCAGCGGAGAGGAAACTCCTCCTGGCGCCCCAGGTGCCTGGCGTGAGAACCCAGTATTATCCCCCAGTCGCACAAAACACCTGCCGCTGGGGATGCCATCAGCATGGTGCCCCCTCCGCCTCCCCAGCAGCGAGTTGTATGGGGGACTCCCAGTCCCACACAGCACGCGCCCCACAGCTGGTGCTCACCAGGCGCAGGGCCTCGATGCTGGAGCTGTTGCTCAGGATCTCCTGCTGCAGCGCGGCCTGCTGGGTCTGTGCGGCCTCCAGGCTCTCTGCGTCCTCCATCTGGCTTAGCCGGATGCTGAGACCCACGTTCTCCCTCAGCCAGGACACGGCCTGCCATGCACCACGGGGAGAGACAGCGCATTACTGCCAGCTGAAGGGTGGGGGGCTGCGAGCAGAGGGGGAGATACACGGGGAACACCCGACGCTGGGACCCAGGGACAGGGGCTGGGACGCGCCTTGGCTCATTGGAGACGTTACCGCATTAGCAGCCTGACAGAAGTCCTGCAGCTGGGCCTCCTGCTGGGGTGGGCCCCGCACAGCGTCTGACTGTCCTGGGGGTTTCCTCCTCCTGCGGGAGAGAGGCAGAGTCATGGACAGTTTCTCTCCTACCACAGGGACCACAGCAGGCTCCGCCAAAGGACCAGGGCAGCCTCATACCACACAGAGCCCCAGAGCTACAGCTGCAGGGCAAGGGCTGGTATCCACACCATGGGGGCCCCACAGGTTCAGGGCATGGGGGCAGCTGCCTGTGCCAGGGAAACCCCAGGTGCCCATGTCCTTCCCTGCCCGCTATGCCCCTTCTGGGGACTAGGTTCTGGAGCTGGGGATGGATTCTTACAGCTAAGGAACAGGCCCAGCCCAGCAAATGCTCTAGGTCCCCTCCCCACTCTCTCCTCCTAAGGAATACCTGGCCTATACCCCTCCCCTGGACCCCATTCTTGGGAGCGGCCTGCCAAGTCAGTACCTCTTACTGTTGCTGTGGCAGCCAGGGGTGGCCTGCTCTCCTGGCAAGCTTGGGCTTCCCTCCTCGCCTCTCACATGCTCCGTCACATTCCCTGCAAAGTCCTTCTGCACCTAGGACACAACAGGAGCCTCCCAGGATCCGATTCCTCCCCCAACTAGCAACAGGTGGAGGAATGGGGACCAACAGAGCCAGCTCAGCCTCCCCCCGCGCCAGGCCTACCACCTACTTCTCTGCCGCCACACACAGGGCACTCCTGGGAGCAGGGCCATCCTGGCCATGGGCAGCAGGTTTGTAGAAATTTTGGTGGTGCCCAGAACCCGCCCCCGCCCAAGCTCCGCCCCCCC